ATTTATTAAAAATATACTATTTTTCAGGAAGACGATATCACTTACCCACAAATATTTGAGAGGGAACTTCGATAAAATTCTGCTAGAGAGAGAGAGATCTCAAAATTTTCTAGGGTAAAAGTGCTCACCTCCCCTATTTAAATTCTTATAACGTATTATTATATTATTTTATTACGCTCTACCTCATACCTGAGGTGTCGCGTTAAAAGCAGACTTTTATCGTACGAAAACCACGTCCGCTAAAGGACGCTGCCAGCTGCAAGCAGCATGGGGCAAAAGCTGGCAAAGGAAAAAAGTAAAGGCAAAGCAAAAGTTAATCCAAAGCAAAAGTTTTGAAAATAGTGATGGTCCCCAAGGACCATCATACTCAATCAGACCATCACCTATTAAAAGCATCATTTCCCCCCCTTTTTTTTTTTTTTTTGAAATTTTAGGATTGTTACAAAGCTACAGTCCAAACAATGAGTAACAAGATATACTACTTTTTTACCGAAAAAGATATACTATTTTAGGGTTTGAAATATATATATATATATATATATATATATTAGATCTATATTTGTTGAGGTTGATATGATCGACTTAAGAATTTTATAGTGCCAGAACGTATCTTTTCAATGAGATTTGAGTTGCAGCTCTACACAAACTCAAAATTGTAAAGGGAGAAGTTATTTTAAAATTTAAGTTTTTGAAAGAGAGATTGTATTAACATTTTAGAGAGAGAAACAATATCAAATTTTAGAGAAAGAATATTTAAAATGTTTAGAGCGAGAAATTATCTAAATTTTTTAGAGAGAGAAACTATTTTATATTTTAAGTTTTAGAAATAGAAAGTGTATTAAAATTTTAGGGAAAAAACCCCATCAAATTTTATAGAGAGAAACTATATCAAATTTTTAAAGAAAGACTATCTCAAATTTTGAGTTTTAGAGAGAGAAATTATATAAAATTTTGTTATCTATGTTGGTGTTATTCTGGAGTGAGAGATATCTGGCTTGGGCTTGGTGTTTGAAAAGGGAGGAAGACCGCTTCTTGACATTGCATGGAGGAAGCAATAAGAGAGAGAGGGGGAAGAGAGAGAGAGAGGATTTGCATTTTTTTTTTAAAAAAATATTTCAGGCAATCCAAACAATGAACTCTACTTTTTTATGGTTTCTACGAGGTGCAATCCAAATAGTATACACTATATTCCAGGAAATACTAATTTCACTAAATACCAATTTCAGGATACACTTTTCCACATGATTGAAAAATCCGGGGAGCCAAATGGCCTTTTAGTGTCTTGGGAAAGGTAAGAGTTATTGTTAAAATTGTTAAAAGTTTATTTTCTAGAAATTATATTAGTTTTTATGTTATTTCATTATCAATGATGTAGTGAAGTTGTACTTGTAAGTTTGTGTAATAAGAAGTTGTGAAACTACTGTGTGGTTAGTAGTTATTGTTGTAGGTTAGTAGTTATAATTATAAGTGGACAATGATTGTAGGAAATATGGTTGTAAAAGCCTCTATTTAAAAGAGAGGTCTGTGGTGGGAAAATTGAGACACATGTTGAAGGTTAATCTTGGGTGTCAAGCTTGTAATGCCTTTATGTACCACGGGGTCACATGTGTTAAGGTTAATCTTGGGTGTCAAAATTATAATGCTTTTGTGTACTTCATGTTTTTCTTGAATGAAAGATTCGTTTTTCTTCCACCTCATTTTAGTTATTCTTCTTCTTTCTATTTGGTTGTGAGTTTTGAGTTAGTGTACCATGTTACACTAATTGAGGAGCGGATTGTTCCAGGGTTTTGTCATCCATCTTCTCTAAATGGTATCAGAGCCACATGGTGGTGGTTATGTTGCTTTGATTTTCTCGGTGAAAAAGATCAATTTTCTCCTTGAAAATGGATTCAGTGGAAGGTCTAATGGTTTGATGCGGAAGAACCTATTTGGAGGCAGGTTAAAGAGGGAATATATTCTCAACGTTACCTCTATTCTAGGGTGGGTTATGCAACTCTACTTGGTGGAATCTGAGAATCTTTTTGGTGTCTTGCTAAATGGCCGGATTTTCAATTTCGGGAAATGATGAAGATAATCGTGTACACATAGTCTAGTTTTCTAAAATGATCACTTTAAGAGGGGATGTTAAAATTGTTAAAGTTTATTTTCTAGAAAGTATATTAATTTTTATGTTATTTCATTATCAATGATGTAGTGACGTTGTACTTGTGAGTTTGTGTAATAAGAAGTTGGGAAACTATTAGGTCGTTAGTAGTTATTGGTGTAGGTTAGTAGTTACAGTTATAAATGGGTAGTTATTGTAGGAATTATGGTCGTAAAAACATCTATTTAAAAAAGAGGTTTGTGGTGGGAAAATTAGAACATATGTTTAAGGGTAATCTTGGATATCAAGATTGTAACGTCTTTCTGTAATCCGCGTCACCTGTGTTAATCTTGGATGTCAAGATTGTGATGCCTTCGTGTAGGCCATGTTTTTCTTGAACGAAAGATTAGTTTTTTCTTCCAACTTTTTTGGTTCTTCTTTTTTTTTCTATTTGGTAATGAGTTTTGGACTAGTATGATAATATTACATTAATTGAGAAGCGAATTGTTATGGTGTTGTGACATCTGTTTTTCTCTACAGTTATGGAGCAAAAAATATCGAATTTCAACTCTTTGTCACATCAAAGCCTATCCAGATGGGGTTCCTCGTGGAGTTACATCAGAATGCGTGATGCATTAGTTTGGCTCGCTACTATTCAGGGTATAACTTGACGATTGATACTCTCTTTTGTGAATACCAACAAAAAGAAACCTACCTCTTTTACCGGTAACAAGAAAGGGCGAGGGCAGCACTGGTTAGGGTAATTATAAAGTTTGGAATTTCATGCTTGTGGCATAAGGCTAGTAAAGATGAGGCTGGGGTATCACTACTTGGACATTTAAATGGGGCCTCAATATGTGAAAGAGAGAGAAATAGTGTCTTGAGAAAAAAATCCGCAAGAAAAGGGTACAAAACACGGGCGGTCAAGACCTCCCCCACGCACCACAAGAATAAAAAAAAGAGAAGGTAAAAAACCACAGAATGGTCTCCCTATACACGTCAAACTGTTTTTTTTTTAATACAAAAACAAGCCCCATAAATCTATTTCTATCATCTAAGAAACTTCTACCTCCTAACCAATTAGATAACCTCCATTATATATATCAACATCTTCTCCCTAAAAACGAAATCCTTCCTGCTTAAAGAAATCCTTCCTTTCTCGGTAATATTAAAGGTAGGCCTCTAATCCTCAAGATAGAACCTACCTAAACCCAACTCCTACAAACAAAAAACAAAAACGTGCTCAACCTTCCTATATTAAAAAAATGATTTCTTTCAAAATTTAAGCCAATTCATATATTCTAAAACAAAACTTAATAAAAAAAGTAAAAAAATAAAATTTTAATTTTGATTCAACCCATTATTGATATGTATTACTCTCTATTGGTTGGAAAAAACTCGGAGATAAATTTGTATTAGTCCCATAACGTTCTTCATCTCAAATATTGAAAACATAATTGTGACTTGTGGGTTATTGCACTAATCAAAATACAATGATTTTATATCAAAACTGAGAAACCCTCCAACAAAGGATCCTTGTATGACAACAGATTATATTCAGCCATATAATTAGTTCATCCATATAATCCGTTTAATGTTTTTATGCTCAACCCTAAAACAAACAACAAACAACGGAGCATCTTCGAGATAGGACTTTTAAAACATAACAACAGAGTATCTTTGAGATGAGCTCTTTTGATAACTGAACTAACTTTACTTATTGGTTCTTCTTTGAGTCTTTTGTTTTGTTTGTCAAATATCAGTTTAACCATGAAATCTTGATCATCATTGTAAATTAGATATCTTATAAAATGTTGTTCTTCATCTAAGTAAATATCAAACATTAGAGGTGAACCCAATCCACAACCTGTTGAATTTTATGTAACCTATGTTAGCATTAACCTCATTTGTTTTCAAATCATGTCGATCAATTACATCCCATAATATGTTATCTTGAATATGAGGCTCCCGACGTGGAGTGTGTGGGCACGGTTTTGCGCCATAACTCCTCAACTTGCCTTATCAAATCTTTTATTTTAATGTCTTGGAGTTTTTGTTCTCGATGGATGGGCTCATTCCAAGTATCGGCCTATCGACTGTGTCCACCAACCATGATGCCTTATTGACAAACACTACTATCCCACAAGAACCGACGCTTTTATACCACCTGACGTAACTGAAAATTCACCGGCAACGAACAACCAAATACAATCATGTTTTAGAGAGAGAAAAAGTCAATTGACAAGAAATCCACAAGAAAATAGTAAAACTGCGGGGAGATGTGAGCTTCTCCAGTACACTACAAGGTCTCTCTCTATACTTCTACCCATTGAAGGAAAACTCAATCTGTCTAACCGATAGCTGCCTGTTTTGATCAGGATCGGCCACACGTTGGTTCTGGTTTCGATCGATTTTGATGATCGGCTGGGTATTTTAAAAAAATAAAATAAAAAAATATATAAAATTCCAAAAAAAAAGGAGCTTTGTTTGTAATATATCTTAATGTATTTTTTTTTAATCATTTTGGCATAGACTGGAAATATTTTTGGCTATTAATACTTATTTTATATTTTTTCATCTTTTTTGAAAAATTTTAAAAATACCTTTAAACACAAATCGATTCTTTAAAATCTATTTTTTTTCATTAATTTTCAACTTCATTTAGATGTGCTTTTTAATCATTATTTAATTATACTTCTCATATTTTATTAGATTTATTTTTTTTTAAACACTTTTTTGACCACTCGGGACTTGCCCGTTAGATCATTATTTAATTATACTTTTCATATTTTATTAGATTTGTTTTGCTTTAAACACTTTTTTGACCACTCGGGACTTGTCCGGTTAGAACGGTTGAACTGGCCAGTTTAACGGTCATGCCAGTTGAACCGCTTTTGAGCCCATATCCGGTTAACTATTCCGATTCTATTTTTCCTACACTGCTTCTACCTCTTACCTAAATAGATAACCTCCAATCTTTTTATATATTTATTTTTGATAATTCAATCGGGAAGACAGCCCCTACCCATTTTTTCATATACATTAGGGAGAGAGTTTTGTTTTTTGAAGGTGTGAATGGATAGTTTCAGCAGAAATGAAAACCGTGATAAGTAGATATTGGGATGCTACCATACCCGGCCACTTTCCTAACGTCCAATCTTTTAAAACAAATTCTCTTCCTCCTCTAAAAAGGATATATGTATAAAGATTTTCCAACTAAGAATGAAACCTTCCTTTCACGGTAATTACACGGTAGTGTTAAGAGGTAGGCCTCTAATCCTTAAAGACGAACCTACCTCAACCCTACCCCTACAAAACAAAACGTATTCAACCTTCCTGCATAAAGAGTGGACTTTTGCAAAATTTAAGCCACTTCATATCTTCTATAGAAAAAAACTTAAAATTAATTAAAAAATTAAATTTAAATTTTGAATCAACCCATTCTTACTATGCACTTAATAAAAATAAAATTTAAATTTTGAATCAACCCATTCTTGATCAACCCCCATTAGAGTAAGGACCCGATTTCTATGCGGCCAAGCTCGTATATGTAGTAATGCGGATTTCTTAATAAATCTATTTTTGAGATGGATTTTTGGACTTAATTTTTAAGGACATGTAATCTCTAACAAGAAGATCATGAATATACAAAAATAAATAAATTTTAAAAACTAGATATAATACTTTTAGTAAGAAAACATTTGGACCGTTAGTTTCCATTGTTTTTAGATGAAACATCTACTTGCATCCATCTTAAAGATGGATGCGTTACATTTTTTTGAACCGCATATGCAATCATGCGGTCCAGCTTTCCTTAGAGAAAATGCAACCCTTTTTAGCACTGAATGGCCCATTTTGGTTGAGCACTAGATCAACATCCCGGATTAACCGCTTATTTTTCAATTCGATTGATTACTAGATTAACGTCCTGACTATCGTTTATTAAATTTGACGGTTAGTCAACATCAAAGGGGCCAAATTATCAAAATACCTTCTTAGTTAATAATCATTGTCATTAAGCTATATTTAAGAAATTAATTAAGAAAAAGGCTGGGGAAAGTTAGTCATTTCAAAATTAAACAAAAGGGTATTTTGGTCATGTAGAATCTCCAGCCTGCATATGTATACCAAATAACTGATTTTGCTAAATTTGGGTATCTAAGTCCCTATACTTAGGATATGGCTGTGCAGTCCATGCTTCTATATAATGGTGATCCTTTCAACCTTTAGTTCATGCAACTAAGAGCTATTGATTTCTATCTCTCTCTTCTTTTTCTATCTCTACTTTTGCCTCTCTCACTCTTCCCCTCTCATTGTTTTCAATGGTTAGTGTTGTTTCTTCCTGCCCACATTCATTTTAGTGCCACTCTACATTGAGAGATGGTGTTTTTGGAGCTTAAAAACTTGGCAATTTTGCTTGGTTTTCAGATTCCAATTATTTACTCTTCTCTCTCTCTCTCACTCTAATATGGTATTTTAACTCTCTCTCTCTCTCTCTAATATGGGGTTTTAACTCTCTCTCTCTCTCTTGCAGGCTCAATACTCAATTTTTGCTCTATTCATGTGTTGGGGTTTGGCTGGTCTATGTGGGGCTAGGACTCTTCCCTTATCGGACTCTACTTCTACTTCCAAGAGCTTTGATGTCATGGATTATGGAGCCAAGGGTGATGGCATGAAAGATGACACTGATGTATGTTCTAACTCATGCTTTCATATACATTTACTCTTCCAAATCTCAAAATTTTCTACCATTTCTTGACATCTATTCATCCAAATATAAATACTTTAAAAAATGGCTCAGACTTGGGACACGACAGGGTCCTGAGTCTGTGTCTTCTTTATAGACTCGGCCGAGTAATGTTAAACCGTAAGAACCGGCTGAGTCTGACTGGTTCTTTTACGCTCCCAGCACCCTGCCAAGCCCAAATAGGTCCGAGTTGACTTGACCAAGTTTTAAAACAATGTCCAAACTCCAAAACTCAAAATCTTGCTTCATTTTGATTGACTTGGGACTCACATTTGTTGTTTTTACAGGCATTTGCCAAGGCATGGAATGCAGCTTGCAGTGCAAAAGGCTCACCAGAGATGATAATTCCATCAGGAAACTTGTTCAGGGTTGGACCAATTCAGTTTACAGGACCATGTGAATCCAATCATGTTCATGTTACTGTAAATACATATAACTTTCTTCCAATACTGTGGACTCACTCCATATATTATAGTACACTTTCCACATTTGTATGCTTTAAGTTATAATTATAGAAATTTATCAAAATACACCAAGCTTATTGATTTTTTTTGACATTTTAGTCATTTTCAATTATTTCAAGATCATGTGTATTTGAAGAGATTTTTGAAATTAAATAAAAAATATGAGTACAAGACTAAATAGTTCATCTCTTAGGTACATTTTGTATAGTATATTTTTGTCATAAACCTTTTTGTTACAAAAGTAATGAATATTGAAATTTTTGTGTAGGTGGAAGGAGATATTGTGGGGCCACCTCCTTCTTCATGGAAAGGTGCTAGTAAAGAAACATGGCTTGTATTCTCCCATGTTAATGGGCTTATAGTTGATGGGTCTGGAAAAATAGATGGTCATGGCCCTGCTTGGTGGGCTCAGGCTTGTAGACAGAACAAGGGAGACGTAAGTGTCTATGCATTATTTTTTATTATGGTTATTTCATTTGAAGAATTACATAGAGAAAGCTAATCTTTTTGGTGTTCGTCGACATGCACGTATAGATTGTTGTGTCTGGGGTATTATGGTTATTTCATTTGAAAAACAATATTACAGGCTCCCACAAATTAGATTTGCTAGGTCATAACAAATTTGTGATATTATCGTCACCTCATTCTCAAGTTGCCTTATTTTAATCAAATTAGATCTACCTCTAGTTTCGGTAGACCTCGGTAGAGGTGTTTGCTTGGTCATAACAAATTTGTGATATTATTGTCACCTTATTCTCAAGTTGCTTTTTTTTAATCAAAAAATTAGATCTACCGAAACTAGAGGTGGCAATAGGTCAGGTCACCCCGATCCAGACCCGAATACTATTCGGGTCCCTGTTTTTGACCCGGACCCCACTTGTCTCATACCCATATCCGCCGGGTCTCGGGTCCAATCCATTGCCATCCTGAGAATTAGTTTTTTTTTTTACATCATATAATATTATTGACAACAAATATCTATATTATTGGCAACAAAGTCACAATCACCTGCCATTATATTTCAAACCATCTGATTTGTCATTTAATAGTTAAAGATGACTACGAGTTCTTACTACTTATGATGTTTAATAAACCCAAACGGATAGGGCTTGAAGTATCTTATCTCCAATGGTTTATGGGTACGGATCGGGTTCAACTGGACCTGGACCTGAATAATGTTCGAGTCCAGGGTTTGGACGCGGACTTGAGCCACATGGTCCAAATGTTGGATCCATACCCGGACCCGTATCGAGTATACCCGACGGGTCCAGGTCGAGTCCGGATCTATTGCCACCCCTAACTGAAAGGCATATAAATGATTATGTATGTGGAAGTAAATAGAAAAGTCACTCTATAAAATTACTTGGCTTAATAGTTTTTAATTCTTGGTATTTTTCTTTTTCTTTTTTGCAGATATGTGCAAATCCAACGGTTAGTGCCCTTTCCTTGGAGGAAGCTACGGATGTAGCCTTTGACAGCTAGAAGTGCCAGTTATTTTTGCAACAAAACATTTTTGTCACAATTAATCGTTACCTAATTTCATTCCTAACTTTATTTTCTCATGATCCATTTCATTAAATGCAAGATTGTGCCTGCCTTTTGGAATTCTCCCTATAGAAATATGCCGTCTTTTTAAGTATCTACTAATCAGCTAATAAACCAGATGGAAATGATCAAAGATTAGGTCTGAGGCCCCTTTTATTTTATTTTTTTCCCACTAATATTTTACATACTATCATCATTACGAACAAGGAAAATTTATACAAAATACACGTAATTTATCAACTATTTAACATTTTAACCATTTCAGCAATTTCAACTTTGCATGATATAAAATTTGACACACACATTTTTATCTAAAAAAACATTTAATTTACACCTTATATATGGTCAAAATGAGTCCCTTCCAACAATGAATCTAGATCGTCCATTTGATGAATTTCAAGATCTAGTCCTTTATGAATTCAAAATCAATTGTTTATTGTTAACGTTTTAAATCTAATGATAATAAAGCTATCTAAAAAACTTGGAAAGAAAAAATATACTTTTAAGGCCTAGATCTAAGTATCTAACCAAAATGGACGGCCTACGTTAATTGGGCTAAAAAACACTTTCTACATTGTTTTTGTTTTGTTTTCTTTTTTTTTGTTTTTGTTTTTTTTGTTTTGTTTTCTAATTTTCCATTTAAATGAAAAGAGTATATATTTTAAAATTTGGATCAAACAAATGATGGCATTAACATGATTTTTGAAGATCGTATCATTATGTTACTATACAACAGGTTCATTATGAGCTCTAACAAATATTAACATAATTAATCACAGGCACTTGGACCTCAACATGGTTTTTGAAAATTGTTTCATTGTATTCCTATTCGTTTCATTATGGGCTCTAACAAGTATGAACATAACAATCATTATAATGTTGATCACAGGCACTTACGGTAGAGTATTCAAGTGATGTGAGGGTGAGTGGGCTCAATATTGTGAACAGCCAACAAATGCATATGGGCATAGAGCAATCCACATCTGTTACTTTATCTCATCTCACCATAAGGGCACCAGGAGATAGCCCTAACACAGATGGGATTCACATACAGGGCTCTAGCTCAGTAACCATAGAGAATTGCAACATAGGAACAGGTTTGTGGTTTTAATTTTGTTGATTACATTGTTTTAAAAATAGCCAGTTACGGATTCGAAATCCGGAGCCCAGCAAATTTGGGGCAAAAAACCCTTCCATAAGGGCTTATTCAATTCAATGGCCAGAGTCTCTTGATTTTTCATAATTTTTGCAATTTTCGTTAAAAATTTCAATATAAGTTCTAATATATCTAGCTATTCACTTTTCAGGAGACGATTGCATCTCTATTGGACCTGGAAGCTCCAATCTCAATATCTCTCACATAGTTTGCGGCCCTGGTCATGGCATAAGGTCCCTCCCTCTCTCTCTCTTCACAATTCTTTGAAAGCAAATTTTGTTCTCTCTCTCTATCACAGCTCATTCTACAATTTGGATTTTGGAAAAACAAAAGGAGAGAACTAAGACTCTTTTAATGCAAAAGATTACATGCTCCTGCGGTTGGTGGGAAATTTTTTTAAGCGCAAGTGTAAATGAATTTTGGCCGTCAATGGAATAAGTACTAAACTGTTAAATTCAAATACTTGTGAGCATAATGTACATTTACTTCGTCGCGCGTAGTAATAATATTTTAAGGGTGTGGTTTCCATCAGGTTGTATCTTTAAACAATCCAATTAAGCCCCACCTCTAAATTTTATCATAACACATAATTTTGGCTCAAAAAATTTCTTAGGCTGATCTGAAAATCTATTGTTATATCTAATTATAAAATTTTAAACTCAAAAAATGATTAAAGTCAAGTAGATATGTAAACGTATGAAAATATTAAAAACGGACTATCTAGATAATATCTTACAAGATGCACTATTTCTAATACTCAATATCTATATATATATATTTTTATATTATACATCTCATTGTGGAACAAGCTTTTTTTTTTTTTTCAGCAAGAAAAAGAAAAAAATAAAACATACTCTCCCTGTGCATGAAAAACCGTCTCAGATTGAATAAAGGCGATCCAAGGTTTGAATGGTCATATCCGACGCTGTTTGTAGGAATCTCGTTTTTTTTATAAAGTAATACTCATCTGATGATTCTAAAAAATAAAAATCCCCATTGATAGGGCAGGACTTTTTCCCTGATGGAGTAAGTCAATAATGTGGCCGTGCTCATCTTTAAATGGGTCAACATTTTAAGAACGATTTCTCTGTGTATGCACAGTATTGGAAGTTTGGGGAAGGGAACAGAAAAAGCAAACGTTCAAGGTGTGCACGTGACAGACGTTAACATGACAGGAACAACAAATGGAGTCCGTATTAAGACGTGGCAGGTAAGATTAATTATCGAAGTGAATTTTTTTGGTAAATCAGTTAGGAGGGGGTTCTGTATGTACCTCTATACACATATAATTTATAAAAATTAATAAAATTATGTGACAAGAGACATGCAGTTATTTCAATTTGATTAGGGCTAACAATGGGTTGGATGGCTTGGGCTGGCGGCACAAAATTTGGCCAAAGGCGAAGCTCGGATGGCCATTTATCGCCTCCTCTACGAACCTACGCCAGCTTTGGCATAACCCAAGACATGTTGTACCAGCCCTAATTTTGATGAAATACCCGGGATTGAATTAACAACAATGTCTACTGCAAATGGCATCAGTGTGTAACATTGGTTTTAATTCACTTTCAACTGTTTTATAGAGATCAAACAATTGTAGATCTTCAAATAAATAAATTGTATTCAGGCATGAAAATCCCTTCCCTAATTTTCCCTTTTCCCTTAATTGACAATTAAACAATGCACAACCAGAAAACACAATTGCCACAATCTCACGAACAAATCACAGCAGCACCATAAAGGTCTATATTCTATAATAAGCTATTAACTAACATGTTCTAACTTCTTTCTTCTTTTAGGGAGGGGCTGGGACGGTAAGTGACATCACCTTTGAAAGAATAACCATGGACAATGTGGACCGTCCGATCATTATTGATCAATACTATTGTGATTCTAATTATCGTTGCCAAAATAAAGTGAGTGTCATAAACTCTCTTCACAAACTTTAATTTATCATCTAAAATAATTATTGACTAAAATTGGTAAATTGCAACATTAAGCTTGTGATATACATTGAATTTATATAGATGAGTGCAATCTCTTAGAAGAGATTGTAAGTATAAGAATGTTTACCTTACCATCACTCTCAGCCGTTAGATGTGAAATCAGGTAGGTGGGGTATCATTTTTATGAGAAATATTTTCTCGGATTTTGAGTGTGGTGAGTGGCACATCGGCAATAGCCGCACTTCATTTTGACAGCTAGAAATGATTGTGATATATTTTACAAAAGAAAACCATCTTCTCGATACTTTCTCTTTATAAAATATTGTTTCAGTTCGGAATGACTGTTCATCTTGTGTTTGGTTTTCTATAGACATCAGCTGTTCAAGTGAAAGGGGTGAAATTTATTGGAGTAAGGGGAACTTCAGTCAGACCAGAGGCAGTGACGTTGGCTTGCTCTAAGAGTGTGGCTTGCACTAATATCCTTCTTGATGGCATAGACCTGAAAACAGTTGATGGGGAGAAGACTGTGTCTTATTGCCTCAATGCCTTTGGCTCAGCCAAAGGCCAAGTCATTCCCAAGCCATGCCTCGATTGATTCATTACTACTCTCTCTCTCTGTCTCTCTCTCTTTCTCACCTTTGATCCATTACTACTCTCTCTCTCTATCACCTTTTAGGGATTGGATTGGAGGCTTTGGATCACAATCTTCAAGCTTGGAACCTTAGGTTAAAGGGCATACACCACTCTTTTGTAATGGGCAAAGAAACCTGTAAGGGTTTATATGTAAACCATTATAGCCCAATTTATAATATAATGATTAATTCTCATTTCTTCTCTTCATTATAGTTTTTTTTTTTTGTAGGTTTTTTCATTCTTATTATTTAAATCAAAAGAATCAAAGTTTATTGTTTTTTGAAAGTTGGGCACCTATGTAATACGGATACGTGTTCATGGTTTTTTGGTTATATCATCATACTGAAAGGATGTAATATTTAAGGAAAGAAAAACTGATAGAGTGATATTACAGTTGCAGTTAGTAAAAAAATATATTACCATTGTATTACTATTATATATACAATAAAAAAAACACAAGAAATCAATATGGGGCACAATTATCTTCTCAAAAGTTCTTCTCTCTCTATAATTATTTATGGTATCTCCCTAAAATTCTTTATATATGGTATCAAAGTAGTTGTTGCTAGCGCGCAATCGATCCGTGAAGTAGAGTCGACATAGAAAGACAATTTAGAGAGGAATCAAGTATTTCCGTTTTTATTTGTCTTTAAAGGTCAGTCCCATCCTCTTCCTCAATTCGTCCTTAATTTTCCCATCTAGTATTTCTCCCTGTCTCCTAAATAAAAAAAATCCTTTCGCTCTCCTTGCTTCCCTTCATTGATAGGTGCCGTCACTACATAAACTTTTTGATCATTTATTTGTCTTCAAGTCTTTTTGATCATTTATTTGTCTTCACGTCTACATAAACCTTCACAACATGTTTGTCTTCACGTCCCATATAAAGAGTATCTATAACATCAACACCCATACTCTTACACACCCGAAACCTCAAAACAAAAAAAAATATCAATTATTCTCTATTATCGAAAATCTTTATGCTCCAATAGACTCTCTTGATGGTAAGAGTGAAATCGAAAATCCAGATTACAAATTATGGCTAAAGTCCGACCGGCTTCTTAAAGCCTGGATCATAGATAGTGACAATATCAGAAAAGTGCATTAACATTGTTGTTGGCCTTAAGACTTCTGCAGAAGTTTAGAAAAGTGCATTAACATCGTTGTTGGCTTTAAGACTTTTGCAGAAGTTTAGAAAATAGCATTAACATTGTTGTTGGCCTTAAGACTTATGCAGAAGTTTGGAAATACCTGAAGAATACCTTTGTAGGTAATTCTCAAGCTAGAGAGTTTCAACTTACTCAGCAGCTCCAAATCTACAAGAAAGAGAATTCAACCCTATCAGAATACATATGTAAATTCAATAGTATTTGTGATCTGCAAGAAAGAGAATTCACCCATGTCATAATACATATGTAAATTCAATAATATTTGTGATGATTTAGTGGCTATTGGAAAACCTGTGCTGGATGAAAATAAGGTATTTTGGCTTCTTAGTGGACTTGGTAAAAAATATGAGAGTTTTGTGACCACTATGCTTAAGCTTCTGATTCCTTCATATTCTGAAATTATACCTCTTCTTTAAAGTCATGAGATTAGAAATCAATCCTATATCTCTGACAGACACTCATATCCAAATCAAAATATGGCTTTTGTTGGATAACAAATTTTTTTTGGAGCCAACAAAGGTGACCCGAATTTGCTAAGAAAGAATTTATTGATCATTTTAATGACAATGGTATCTTGCGACAATCATCATGTCCGAGAACCCCTGAGCAAAATAGAATAGCTGAAAGGAGACATCGAAATATTGTAGAATTGGGCCTTACAATATGTTTCATGCAAGAATTCATAAAAGATTTTGGGTTGAAGTCTTTCATACTGCAATATTTATTATCAACAAAATTCCCTCTACTAGTTTAAAATGGATTCACCATACTCATTATTGTTTAGACGCTTACCAGACTACTCCTCACTTTGAATATTTGGTTGTCGATGTTTTCCATATCTTCGAGACTATGGTGCAAACAAATTTAGTCCATAATATCTTTCATGTGTATTCTTGAACTGTAGTGTCCAGCATAAGGGCTACATATGTCTACATCCACCCACAGGACGCGTCTATATCTCTAGACATATTGTATTTGATGAAAATATATTTCCTTATGCTAATCTCAATTCTTTGTTTGATAGTGCTCAGGTTCAAGGGGAGTTATCTACCTATGCAGAATGGTCTGAGTGTTTTGAGCCTGACATACAAGCTCCTTCCTCTTTTGATTTATCAGTTCCATATGAACCATCGATGCATGACTCCCTTGATGTATCTAGCTCCATCACCAATGATAGCTCTCCAACTTCTCTTGAGGAGGGAGATGTCACCACTGCAACGCCGATCTAACATATCCAGGATGATGCATCACACAACCATGGTGATGAAAATGTTGCTGCTCAAGAAACCAATTAATCTAATTTTTTACCAATATTTGATCATCCTCGTTATCATATGGTTACAAGATCTCAAGATGATACTCGAAGACCTCAAATTCTCCTATCGATGGTAGCAATATCAAGGGTTCCTACATTTGAAATTATCCCTTATGAATCTAAAACCATTAAGTTTGCCTTAGGTCATTTGGGTTGGCATCGTGCTATGGAAGAGGAAATTAAAGCCCTATATGTTAATTCAACTTGGGAGCTAGTTCCACGCCTTCCAGGTATGAATGTTATTGGTTGTTATTGGATTTATATCTAAATTAAACTCTGATGAAAGTCAAAGATACTTAAAGCCAGATTAGTTGCTAAAGGATACAATTAGGTTGCTGGAATTGATTTATTTGAAACATTCAGTCCTTTTATTAAACCTGTTAGTATTCGAATTGTGCTCATCATAGTTATTGTGCACCATTGACTTATCAAACAACTTGATGTAAAAAATGCTTTCCTGCATGGTGTTTTTAAGGAACCTGTGTTTTTGGAAGAAATCAATGTGGGGCACAATTATCTTCTCAAAAGTTCCTTTCTCTCTCTAGAATTCTTTAGCAATTAGAAAAGATGTATATAGTTATAGAGTGAGGACTTACATGGAGAAAACATATGGTTAGCAACGAAGGACTTAGATAAATGATATGTTCAAGATGATTTTTTATTTTTTTTAACTCAGTTACAAGGAGGTTCAAGAATAAAAGGATGTAACTACCAATGAATGCTGGTGCACACCACCCTTTGCTAAAGTATCAGCTTCCATATTAGCCTGTCTAAAATAATGATATAACTCAAAAGAACCACTATTTAAAATAAAAAAGATTATGTCGAAAATGCTGCATAATGTCCAAGATGGCTTCATTTAGCATCAGGATTCTTTATTATCTTTAAACCCTCCAAAAGTGCTCTTGCCTCAAATTCGTTCAATGTTGTATCTCCACATGGTCCCGAGTAGGTGAATTTGTAATTACCCATATGATCTCTAATACTACTGCCATAACCTGCTAGGCCTGGGTTACCATTCGAGTTTCCATCAAAGTTGAGTTTTACGAAATTTTCATGAGGAAGCATCCAAATAGCATTACAAATCTATCGATATTATTAAGCTTAGCAACTTCAGATGGGTTCTAAAAAATATGTGACTTTGTAATAAACTTACAATCCTTGTTTGTTGAAAACCATTAAGCTGATGTTGCTAAGGGGTGAGAATTCAATACTTCAATATCACAGTTGTGTCCCCTCAAAGGTTCTTCTATTTCTCTCTATCCAAGTATTCTAAAGAGCGCTCACCTAAAAAGCTTTCGTACTATAGTGCCAATTTTTGACAAACTAGAGTTCATCTGTTGAGAGAGGAGAAACTCTAGGCTTTGTGGGACCAAAGTATTTAGATTCAACAACTTTCTACATCAATCCTACATGCTTAGATTGAAAGGGCAATGTAAAAAAATATGGTCCACACTTTTGATATCCGTCAAAGGGAGGCTACAAATATTGACAATTATGAAACCTCTCTTATGAAGGTTATCTACAATAGGTAGTTTTTTTGAAAAGCTACCCATAAAAATAACTGAACCTTGAGCGGCACCTACAAATTCCATATTCTTGCTAAACTATTATCAGTTGCTCTGTGAGTCTCCTCATACAACAATCGATAGACAAACTTAACTGAAAAATCCCCTGAAGCTGTGAATTCCCACACCAATTGATCATCTTTATTGGGAATAGAAAAAATTATGCAACAAATTTATAAGCAATTGGAACTCATGAAAGAAAGCCCTCATGTACTTGCAAACAATATTAGTAAAATCAACGCCTCTGAGATCTTTCACTGAGGCCAAAGGATTATTGACTTTGGAGAAAACCTCAGCAAAAGAATCTTAGTGAGCAAGGTCTTCTAGCCATTTATCAAACCAGAACAAGGTTTGATCTCCTTTTCCAACTACTTTGCAATAATGATTAAGATATAATGATTGGTACGCATTAATTCATTTCCAAATATTTGAAAAACCAGCCTTAGATCTTGGACTTTTAATGAGGCTAATCAACACATATACTCCACATTTTTTTCTTAACACCTCTCCCCATAAATCATCCTGCTGATTTTGGAAGCGTCACCACCACTTAGTCAATAGACTAGTGTCCATCAATTTGAGCTTTTTAATTGCTAGAACCCCATCTCTCTTGGGAGTGCATACTTTTTCCCAATTCACAAGTTCCAATTTTTTCCCATTCATATGTTGCCCCATAAAAAAGATCACATAATGTTTTTCAAAGTCTTTACCACCTATTTCAGCATTATGAAAATGGACATAAAATAAATGGGTAAGTTGGACAATGTACACTTGATTAAACTATATCTTCTTCCAAACGACAACACTTTTCCATAGAACTAGTTTCTTATATATCTTTCAATAATAGGATCCCAAATAGCTGTCGTTTGGTTCCTCCAAATAAAGGACTACTGAAATATTTGTAAGGAAACTTACCAACCACACATCCAAGAATTTCTACCAAAGATGCAACCACGTTATTTGAAGCTCCAATCCCAATCAAATTGGTCTTTTATAAATTTAATTTGAGAATCATTGCTATTTTCATATACTGTAAGAACACCAAAAAATTCTTTACTTCTTGTTCCTCAGGATTACAAAAGATAATAGTATCATTTTCATATTGTAAATGAGAGATTGGTAGTCTACCAATATTAAATAAAAAAATAAGGTCTAT